TCTTCTATTATTTTCATATAATTCACTTTTGATTCGGTTTCTTCTAATTCTTCTGGAGTAGGGTGTACAATTCTTCTTATTTCGGGATCCCTGGATTCTGGTGATGTCATGTTGCCTTTCATGTTGTTGGAGGAAGTCTTGCATTGGCGCCTTCCCATCTCCTCTTTCAAATGGAGCCAGGAGAGGCCTGGTGTCTTGGTCCAGTCTTTGCTATGACTGAGTCTCTGGGTGTATCTCTTCAGTGTAGAAGCAGCGCCCGTCCCGTCGAGCTAGAAGTCCTCAGCACCCAAACATGGACACCCGTCCAGATGGAACTCCACAGCACCTAAACAGGGCCGCCTGGTAGCCCAGTGATCCAGGGACAGAAGGAAGGATGGGGCAGGCAGTGCAGGATCCAGGAGAGCACAGGAGCCCCTGGAGCCCAGGCTGAGGGTGCCCAGGCTCTCTTACTGGGGACCTTGAGGCTCACTGCTCTGGGTGGGTAGCCTTAGAGTAGGAGCTTAAAGTAGGACGAGCTGTAATATTTCATCTACATGCGTGTATACTACGAACGGTGAAGGCTTCAGGAAGCACCAGCGAGCATCCTCAACTCTTCTCTGTAACCTTACTAAACTCATCCCCGGAGTAAAATGGTGGGTGGTCCCCAGGAGTACATCGCTCTCCTGGTTTCCCGGTGACCTGGCCTTTAAAAGTGATTCTGTAGCATCCTTATCAAATGGGCACTGAGAAGTTGACTTCTCACCCGGACCGAAGACAACTAAAAACAGGTTGAAAGTCCACATGCATTTTGCATCTGACACCTTTCAGTCAGGTCAGCAGGCTGTTCGATCTCATTCTGCTTCAAGGCCGAAGGCGCCAAGATAAGTTATTGTTCTGAACCTATGGTCATGATGAATTCTGGGAAAAACAAAAGCCTATGGGACAGATCCCTCCTGAAGTAAGGGCAGTTTTCCACGAAGGGAAAGTGACTCTGGCCCAAAAGCTACCCTGTTCCTTCAAGTAGTGAAGACGTCGTGGGCGCACCGTTTAGACCAGATCTGAGATCATGGTCAAGGAGATGCCAGCTAGACCAGGGCTGCTTGAACTCCTGCTTCCTAGTGAGCGCTCATGCCAATGCCCCAAAGACAGGTGGAGGAGTCGTACAGGAGAGCCTTACTGGCGCCTCCTCCTGGTGTAACCGCACTGAATCACTCCCTTTCCCCTGTTCTTCATGATTGTGCAGTCTGCTAATTGGCATATTGGGAGTAGAAGAGCAGGGCTTGTTGGTATGGCTGGGTCCAGGGCTTTAGCCCTAAAAACTTTGGCCATCCTTACATCTCCCAACAATAAGGGCTGGTCTTGGAAGCTTCGTCACTTTGAAAGCAAATCTTTTGGGTTTTGTAAGCAAAATGCGTTTACAAACCCATGGTGGTATCTCCAAGGGTTGCCTGTGTAGGATGAAACGCCCTGTGGATTTATGTGTTCACACAGTTCATTCACAGCAGATTGGAATTCCCTTTCTGCTCCTTTGCTCCCCGAGGGACCCTTAGGTTGCTCTATTTGAGTGGAAACAGCTTGGAGCCATGGAAACCTCACCAGAACATTCTGGGCACAGCTGGAGTTGACTTTGTAGGCTGCACAGCCATTGAAGACAGCCATTATGATGGAGACAGCGTTGGGGGTGTGGATCTCTTTGTCACCAACCCCCTCTGCTGGCATTGAGTTTTCACCTCATGACTAACCCCTGTTCCTCATCAAATACGATTTTTATCTCCATGGGGTCTTAAAAATAGCAACTCCAAACCAAAGCAAAATGTGTTTATTTACAAACATAAGGGCTCCATGAAAACAAATTGCTTGCAGGGCTCATTTTCCATCCCACCGTCCTCCCTCTGCCCCTCGCAGTCTCAGCCCTTCTCCTGTCACGCTCTGTGGGCCTCCAGATGCGAGCCACACCTCAACACATCATTGCCAGGGTCAGCGACGAAGCGTCTCTTTTTTTCTGTCGAACACAAAGTACTTAAAGTATGTATCCATATAAACTGTCACTAACTATTAACAGACTTGTGCTTATGAGATTTTCTAAAATGTCTTAATTTTTTTGGCAGATACCGATGTTAGAATCTTACGTGTTATCTGATCTAAAGGAACGGTTAAAATAAAATCAAAGTAGGGGAAGGGTGGCTAGGTAAAAGCTGAGTGGTGCTTAACTGTTCTGGGAATGATACCATATTTAAAATCAATCCAGAATGGAAAATGGAGGCTGCTCTCAGGCATGACGGTCTATTTTACAGCTCTGTTTCTGTTCCTAGTCCCCCTAAAAGGCGGATACACCGAGGACTCGTGTCCGTACATGTGTTTCCTATTCCACATCCATCTCATCTAGCAGGAAGCAGATTCAAGCAGAAAGCACAGTCTTGCCTATGGATTTGTTGATGTAAAAGCAGACCCCACCCCTTTCAACCTGTGGTCTGCGGTGGGAGATGGGCAGACCTGTGCTGTAGACTTTTTGTTTAGCAGAAGAACTTAGTGAGTTAGATCAGAGTAGGATTGGAGTACTGTAAAATGGGATGATGTTATCATGGGCTGGCAGTCAGGGCTGGGGCAGGACCCTTACAGATCTCATAGGGTGAGAAGAGTGAAGTGTGCCGCTGTCCCGGGAACAGTATTGTAAACATGGGAACCCACAGATGTTTGAAGTCACTGCACCGTCAGCACATTGAGACGTGGCTCGCTCCGACTCCGTCAGTGATGTACTGAGCTTTGGAGGATCATTCTGGAAGCGCATAGTGTGGCCATAGAAGGATGACCATTTGATGTCTGAATGATGGTGGGTGGACCCTGAGAATTAGAAATAATAACGGAGATTATTGAGAGCTTATTAGAGATCAGGCATGGACTATTTCTCTACCTCGTTTTCTTAAATCTTCGCAGCCACCCCAAGAAGTAGCAGTTAGCCTCACTTGACACAATTTACAAATGGCTGACTTAGGATCCAAAAATCCTGGCTGAGGTCTATGTAGAACAATTTACATATGTTGATTGTTTATTCAAATGAAACTTAAATCAAATCAGATGTCAATGATCCTAGTCTAAGACGTTATAGGGACATACACTTTAGACTCTTTAAAGAAAGGGTGGCAGATAGTCCTGCTTCTGATGAGATTTCTTCTTGAGGAAACCGGAGTGTGTTGGCTTTGGTACCCACCCTCTCTTCTTCTGCGTCTCAGACCTTAGCCAAGCATAAGCTCTTCCTTTTCTGGCCTTTACTCTCTTCTCTCACCAGCTCTTTGTTTCTATAGAGTTTTGTTCCAAAATGATGTGCCAAGTTTCGTTACCCATTTCTCGGCCCCGGGGAGAATGAAAGAAAAGAAAAAAAAAAACTGTTTCTCAACCGTGCCTGCTGTTCCCTCATTGCTGTTGCTGTGAGAAGTCAGGCTTTGGAATTGGTGACTGCAAAAACCTGGGTTTTGTTAGGGAAATGGTATTTTACAGACAAAACTGCTAATAAAAAGTAAAATCTGTTCTTGGAAGAGTTAACTGTGGAATGGCCGAAAAATCCCACGACTAGGCACGGCCATGCTTAAAGAGCAGAAGAGCCCCAAGTGGAGGATTGTTCAGCAACCACCTGATACTATCCTGAAACTGAAAGGTTGTCACAATTTTGTGGAAAAAAAACTAAATATAACATGTGTAAGAAGAATAAGTGGGTTTATATTTTAACGATGTGATATTTTATTTAAACTGCGCCCACTGCCTAAATCGGGTTAGTTTCAGAAAACACAAATGGGTGGGGTCTCTTCTTGGCTGTAGAGTTTGTATTCTAGACTCAGACTAACTTTTTCCCCCCAAACTTTTGGCTCAACTTATGAAAAGAAGTGAGAACAGAAATGGAGAAAAATAACCAGTCATTAAGCCCTAGTCCAAATGGTATGTGTGGATTAAGTGGGATTTGAAATATCTTGAAGAATTTTTGCTTAATAAATATTCACTCACGTAACTGTTTATGTTCTCTCCCTGTTTTGACTTTTATGGACTTTTCAGTGCCTTCCTTTGCTGTACTTCTCAGTGTGAGCCCTTTTCTATCTGTATCTGGAGGTACAGAGTTGTGACTCTTACTCCCCCACGAGGTACAGAGTCGTGGCTCTTACTCCCCCCCCCCACGAGGTACAGAGTCGTGGCTCTTACTCCCCCCCCCACGAGGTACAGAGTCG